ATAGTCACACTGGTGTATTTTAGAGCCCAGTATTTCAGATAAATGGCACAACTGCTGCTGCAGGTCTTTAATAAGGAGAAGAAAAGAGGACAAAGACAGAAGTGGATTTGTACCCTACGAGAAGAACAGGTTCATATAAATGGCACCCTGCTATCGGTGGGACAATGGGCAAGCCAACAACTTATGGGCAACATCACATCAGAGGGGACACCAATACAGACATCTGCTACAGACCAGCTGATAGAGAAAAAGTGATGAAAAAGCCTTGTTTAAACARTCTGAGGAAGCATCAGCATCGTGGTGCCTGTTTCTGATAAGGACTCCGATCATCCTAGATATAGGCTAGAAAGGTAACTGGCAACACTTCAAGCATCTCAAGAAGTTTCTGAAGTGCTTAAGGGTCAAAAATCAATATTTTGGTGTGGGACTGGCCAGATTGGGAAAGTGCTCTGCTGAATATTCTATTCATAAATAATGGTCAGGGATAGGAGAGTCTGTCGCTGCATTGACTGCAGCAACTCTGATACGGTTGTAGGGTCTGATGAAAGACAGTAAGGCAAGCAGCAGAATAAAGACTTAGATTATATGACATTAAAGGAGATTCTAAAGAATTAGAACTATGCAAAAGGAAAAATTGTTTTCTTATTCTGATCCATTTCTGAGTGCTTATACTTTTAGGGTGTTTGTAAATGATCTACAGTGGCATGGAAATTCTTGTTTTTATGCAATAATAAAATTATTTTACTTTCCTTTCTGAATATAAGCAAATTCAAACAAGGTAGAGCACAGGAAATGTTATTTTCACTGTGAAGGAGCTTTGGTTCTGGACTTTCCCTTATGAGCGAGGTTAAAATCCCTTGACACTTGGCTCAGGTTCCTCTTTGCTTTATACCTGTGTAACAACATTTCCCTGAAGTCACAGACCTATTATAAGAATGAACATGTCAATTTCTTAATTAAACCCGTGGAGCAATGACATCTTGACAGCCTCTTTTTTCTTTGTCACTGACCTTGTCTTGAGATCACCTCAAGGTTACCAGTGCAGTAACAGTGGCTGAATAAAGAAAAGTCCTGCACCATTCACATCTTCGGAGTTCAAAGGATGAGAGTGAATTGGTGTCTTTTAAATCCATTCAGGTTTCAAGGTCCTGGGTTGTTTGGTAAATGTGGTATTCCTTCACAGGTCTGAGTCACCTGTGCTGACATACTCSATGTGACTGGCATGAAAGGTCCATTCAGGAGGACACTCGTGGTGTCCTTTTGGTCTTTCTTGCTCATCTAGAACTGACTGGTGCTTTCATAATGACCAGTATAAATTGTCCATCATTCAAATGCCATTTGGGCCACGGACTGTTCTTTGGGTATTTTTGGCAGTTGCATTTCTTAGGCTGGGGCTCCATTACTGCTTCAAAATGAAAATGAGGTTTGCATTGTAGATCTGTACTGTCATTTGAACGGCTTTTTTCTCAATTCTCAGCAGCTACAGCTTTTTCTTACAGTTGTTATAAGATGTAAAAGTCCAAATGAGTGKGTGTAATAATGCAAGGAAAACCAAATCACTCAAAGCTGCAACACTGAAATTCAGCAAGAGAGAGAMAAAACCACAATATGACCATATGGAAAATCTACAATGTTGAAAGGGTTTGTTTAATTCTGAGAGGGGAAAGGCAATGATTTGTAAAAAAAAAAAAAAACCTTGATGGAGTTATAAAATAAGCAGCAAAGTAAATCACTGCAATGATTTTGCATAAACTTTTTACAAAAAGAACCCTTCCTGAAAATATTAGCACTTATAAAACATTGGTTTTGGAAAATTTAGCAAATACTATTAAGTTACTTAAATATACTGTTGCTCTTAGGTTGAAATACAGAAAATCCACAGAATGGATTGAATTTACACCATACAACCCAAATTTATCACTTAAATTAGCATGATTACCATAACACTCTATAAGAGACTACAGCATAGGCAAGCTCTCTGGCATTCTTCAAAGGGGGAGCTCTTTCCCCCACAAATTCATCTGACCTTCTTGCCCCACTGCCTTTCAGAAACTACAGATACAAATGCRATGTGTATTAGCAACATAATGCACTGAATGACAATTTGATCCTTTATCTGAAATATTAGAACAAAGAATAAGTGGTAATTAAAATTATGACTGACTTCAGGGGTCAGTAAAACTTGACATTTGTGTGAGACTTAATCTCAGAGAGCAGAAATAAACTCCCTAGKCAAATGCCACATACGAGCTCACCCTCCACTGGTCATGGCTAATAACCTGCCCATCACACCAGAGGACAAAAGGTGGCTGTACAATAGAGCAGCCACTCATCAAAGATTTCCCAGGAAGTGTCACACAGCAGTGCTGGGCAGATTTGTGAGAAAAAGAACTGATGTTGCATTCCAGTAAATATTAACAAGCTGTTGGGCCTAAAGTGCTGAATCCTGACTCCACTGGACAAACCCATCTCCTGTCGACTTCAGCAGAAGCTCAGCAGGGGTCAGTCTGTGGCCCAAACAGGAGGGCTAGTCAGCAGGACAGATATTTAAGTGTTCACACTTCATCACTTTGCTGTAGTCTTCCTCTTTAGCCTTTGGAGTTCACAAGATCATTCCATTAATTATAGTGCCAATCCATTTATCCATGAAACATTTTTAGACTAAGATGCTCTTTCGGATACAAGGACTATGGTTACAATTGCAGTACATTTGATGATTTCAAGCAAATTAGGAGGAAGGAAGCAGGGAGAGAAAATCAAGGAATGGCAGAGATCCATRTTTCTTTCTTTATTCACTTACACTGAACTGTTTCTATTACACAACATGAAAAAAAATACTTCCATACTGCAGTCTTGTTTTTCTACAGCTCTAATTATCTAAGGACATACACACAGTAACATCTGTAAAGAGAGGCAATACTGTCATAGAGTCTAATTTTCTAGCTAAACTGATTGATCCAATAAATATGTTACCTCTATCTACAAATTTTGTCCAGGAAATTTACCGATGAGGATTAGATTTTTCTCTAAMAACCTCCAAGCCAAAATCTCACATGGGATCTCACAGCAGAAGAGAGCTGGAAAATAAACTTGACTCCCTTCTTTYTCATTTTGCTTCTGGGCTAAGACATGCTGCTGATTGCTTTAGTTTCATCCCAGGGTCACCCTTCATGTTTCACCAAGGRTGGTCCCATTATGATCAGTAGCAAGAAAGATGCTTTTCCCTTGTGCTGTGGTTCCTAATCCTTTCTGAAGTCAGTTTCACTGTATTCTCTTTCTCTTCCTCCATCTTACTTTCTCCCTACAGYCACCTTTTTTCTGCAACCCTCTTTCCAACAACAGATCCCTCCTTCCRCATCCTCATCTGCTCTCCTATATGTCTATAGGATACCCAGTTTCCACTGGAAAAGCTTGGCTGTTCAGCYCCTCCTCTCTGGAGCACTTCATTTCTAACATTGGACACCAGTGCTCAGCTGGGAGAAAAAGTACATTCCACATCCCATTTAGCACAGCTCTGCCCCACACTGGTGCCAGGCAGCAGTGTAAGTTACATCCATCTGCCACAATTAGAGATACAAACAATATGTATGGTCAGGAAGCCAACAACAGAAAACAAAAAACTCCTTGAGAGAATACAAATAGGAGCAAAAAACATAAACACTGACAGTCCCCAGAGCCTCCAGTTGCCTGCTGCAGTAGAGGTGGTTAAGCTCTCTTTACCTAAGAGACTCTAAGGGACCTGACTCAAAATCAACTACAAACAGAATCAGAAAATATGGTGTGTGGAAACARTAATTTTATTMATCTCTCCAAAAGAAAAGTCTTRGGTAGGCCACTGAAAACAGGAGCAYGCASTACTGASTGACTAAGAGGAAAGWATTTTGTTTGCTCATACTAAAAAMACAAACAAGTAYCTAAGGCTATCCATGCCTCAGCCACACCATGACAGGCTGGTTTAGTTTTCTGCCTCCAGCCASCAGCAGCCAGCAGTGCAAATCTCCTCTCTTGATGGCCACTGTCATTTTTCCATTGTTGTTCCCTCGGGTCCAGATAATGGTCTATTTTTGGAGGAGCAGACCTCCRGACCAAGAATTTAAAGTCTTTGCAAAGGGCAGCTGGTGATATGCTGTATGCTTCTAATGCAAGACCTTTGTTCAAGCAACAAAACATTTAACTCCCTCTTGCCTCATGTGTGCAGCTGTCTGTTGAAGAATCCCTGAGTTTAAATAAAAAATGGAAGCACAGTCATTAAATTAAGAGTAACCAATAGATTCTATCCCTTTATTATAAGGGTATTTTTCCCAGCTGGTGAGGCTTTCTTCAGCTAATTTAATGTCCTATTAAAGACATTCAAAGGAAAGATTAGCATGATAGTGAGAATGGGAAAATACCAGATTTAACACCAAAACTTTTAAATACAAAGATTTATCATAGTCTTAAGTTTCAAATTCATTATATGACCCATAAGAAAAATAGGAAGACTTGGGAAAATTATTAGAGTTGTCAGCTGTCATATTTTGAACTGGGCCAAAACCCAAAAGCACCATACCCACAACGCTCCCTCCCTTCCCCCACCGGAGAGGGAGAAGGGAGAGCAAAAGCCCAATTAACATGAAAATTTATGGCTTTCAGATAACATGACATAATTGAGAGAAAGATACGTATATGCTCCAGAGAATGGTCAGACAGGCTGAATAACTTAAGTTGCAAAACAGATTTATTACTAAAAACTATTAAGAATACTACTGCACCGGGGAGGGGTGCAGTAAAACCATGACATCAGCACATAAAAGTCAAGAAAACTTTACAGATACAACTCTTCTATGTAAAACACTATTGGCAAATTGAATTTAGGAATTTTTAGGGATGSACTAGGAATGTGATTATTTGTTTTAGCTATCTCTAAAAATGTCATTCATGTAGGTGTCAGGAGCTACTAGCACGGAAACTATTAAAGAGAGAACAAACTGCAGAACAGCTGAAACTGTCACCTCCCTATATGTCTCTTTCAGACCATCAGTTTGGAAGGTCTGCCTTTCATCCTGCCTTTCCTCATTGCTTTAAACAAGGCTATGTTCAGACTGGGGAAATTAGAAATCATCTCTAAGTCAAACAGTGTCTGAAAYCTGTCCACAAACTGGTTCTCTTTCTCCAACCTAAATTTCATAGCCCACAGAATAACAGTATCATTCTTGCACAAGTGGTCAAAAGTTAGGAGGAGTTCATCCAGGAACGGATGGTAATAAACTACATCAGCAGCCATAATGTAGTCAAAGTGACAGGAAGAYCTAGGAAATTTCTTTTCCAGATCAATTCCCCAAGACAGTTCCTTAACACAAGGCTGGTGCTTGCATTTCTGCTTTGTATTTTGGAGAACATTGTGCTGAAGGTTGCCCAGYAGTTCTGGCAAATCTGTGGCAGTCACAAAGGCACCTGTGACACAGAAAAAACAAATACAATATTTGAATATACATCTCAACTTGAATAAAAGCTCATTCACAAAAACCACTGCACAAGAAACTGGTTTCATCAGGCAGCTCTCTATACTGAGGGTAATAAAAAATGTAATATACTGAGGGTAATAAAAAAATGTAAACACGCCCAAAAACTCTTAGTCATGCTTAAAACAAATATTTACTTCCTAGTAGTTCTACTCTACAGATTGCCATCTAAATGCAGTTGGTGGGGAGAAACCAGATACTTACTGTATCTTGATATCACACTGGTTAAAAGTACAGTGGCTGACTGGGGATTGAAGAATACCAATTACTGAATTCAAGAAGTCAGCATGAGATTTAAGCACTGCCTCAGGTTCTTTTCTTCTCACGCAATAAGCCATTTTCTCAAACTACAGAAAGCTGACGTTCTGTTAAAATGCAGAAGCCACTGACCTGGATTACTCTTGATGAAGAATAGGATGTCATGAGAGAAAACACAACAATTTTTCTGTCTGTAGCAGAAAAATCAAGGTGCTGAAGGAAAATACTGAAACACAAATGGATAGAAAGTGACCTGGCATCCAAGAGCTGTTTGGTCAAAGGAAGAGGATGCGCTGGTCATATCTACATCTGGCTCAATCTGTTTGCCACTGACATCCTGTGAAGCTACTAATTTCTTATTTTGATCCCCAGTTTAACACAGTTAATGACAACATACCTACTGGGACCTCCTTTTTTGCATCAAGCCACTCAAAGAAAAAAAAAAAAAGAAACAAAAAAAAAACCCTCATGTTTCCTAACAAGTCTTTTAGAATTTACTGTTTCTTGTTCTTGGAAGCTTTTAAAAGAACGTATTTTAGAAGAACCAGGCCACGTCCTTTGTCCTCCACTATTCATCTGAGAGATGTTTCAAAGAGCATAAGAGAAATGTCATATACTCACCCAGCAAACTGGCTACTATGGAGACCAAGCCAGTTCCAGCTCCAATTTCAATCACRTTTTTGTCAACCAAATTGTATTGTTTAGGGTTAGTTTCCAAAAAATAACATAGAACAAGAGCCTGTAGGGGAGGAAATACATGAACAACTGAACAAACTGACGAAAAAAAATCCCTTTACTGAATATGAATTGTCATTTAAAAGCATGTAAAACAATTGTTGTCTGCTCAAATGAGCAGTTCTTATTCAAGCATTATCCCTAAAGGATCACCGCTCACTCTGATCTTTGGGCTCTATGGGTCACAAAATAAATGCTACAGCATGCCTCCATASAGGTTTATAAATTGTTACAGCCAGAAGGAAAAACTGCAATTAGATAATCTGTCACAACTCACAACATGAGCTGTAAAATTCCATTCCTGCCTGTAACTGGACTTACTCTGGTTGACATACAATGTGTCCTTCACAAAGACATCTTGATATAAGGACTGCTTGTGACARAAAATCCACAACCCTTGTTAAGTTCTTCCAATAGTCAATTAATTCTAACAATAACTAATGATTGTTAAAGTTCAAAAGGAACAAATAGATTTACCCCATTTTCTTCCAGTTCTGTTTGTTTGCAGTTTCTATGTGCTTACTTTGTTAAGCTTAGCAAACTTTCATAATAAATACAGCCCCAAAGAGCATCTACAACAGTCTCTTTATCTATATATTTATGTAGAAGCTGTGATTAAGAATGTTCTTCAGCTTTTCTGCCCTGCCTCAAACTGCCCAGTGAGTTTTAGCTCACTGTTGAAACAGAAAAGGCTAATTTTATTTCTCTGGTAAAGATAGTTTCCAGATTTTCTTCYGTATTTTTCCCAGAATTTAATAGTTGTGTTGTCTCCATTGACAAATAGGATGGTTGCTACATCCTCTCACAATACAGATGACCATTTGGAAAGGCAATCATTAGTGGCTTGCTCTGGCACAGCAAAATTAGTTTTGTTTTTAACTAATTAAGAATGAGAAGGAAAGGAACAGGAAGACTGCTGATCCAATGTTAACAGGCTAGAAATTCAAACAAAGACTTTGTTTTCTACCTCTTAATTCTGAGCACAGAAGAGAAGGTAATGTAACTTACATATATTATTTCATAAAGAGCACTTTGATATAGAAATAGGTCTGTGAGAATCAGAATAATAAAAGTCAGGTTTCTAAAGATTTGGTCTGATATTTGACACATTATATTAGGATTTCCTCCCAGTTACATCAATTCCTATAAATCCTTCTCTCAGAGTTTTGCAGTATTCTCTTATAGAAACTGGCTGGCATAATCAAAGTTTCTGAGGGTTAAATCAGGGAAACTTTGAAATCTGCCTTACTTTCCATGAAACATGCAGAAACTTTACTTTCCTTAAAGTTTCTGCAGTCTTGACAAATTTGGCTGACATTTTTCAGATTTCAAGTACAGCTAGATGGAAGTGGAAGGAAAAACATTAAGAGACAGAGATCAAAGGGATGTCTTCCTTCCACAACAAAATTGGCTAAGCCCTTCCAGATTAAAAGGAAAACAAAAAAAAAAACAAAACAAAACAAAACAAAACAAAACATTTTTCAGTGAAGCCCACGGTTCTGTGAGAATAATTGGTAGTCAGCCAAACTTTCCATGAAGACATGCACTGAGGTCACTAAAATATATAGTACAGATGACTGATCCAGGTCTCCTAAAACAAGAAACATCATTTGGACTTCAAAATAGAAGAGTAAGACAACYATCCTCAGCTGAGCTATGGTCATGCTTCTGAAAAATAGTATGATCCTAGGAGGCTGATGCAGTTGGGATAAAGAAATGGAGCATCCTGGGTCTTTCCTCTAGGGACACAAATTTCAAGGTGTTTCATGGCACCCCCCTGGTGATTTCTTTCACTCTTAATTATTTCTAAACAGTCAGTTTGCTGCACCGCACAGATTAAAAACTTGAAGGAGGCTCCTTGTRTGGTGAATGTGTTGATGGTTCTTACATCAAGAGCCAAGGACGGTGGTTCTCTCCAACTAATTTTCTAGCTGCTTAAGAAACTGGAAGCTCCAGCTGAACATTTTCTCATGTCTATGTATTAACAAGGTAAATTTGTTTCTTACATGAGTAGGTTGAGTAGCTTCTATGAGTGCTAACACCTTGTGAGCTCGTATCACAGTTGTTTCCGCAACCTGGATCTGCCTGCTACACAGCCATCTGTATTTATAAAATGTACAGAAATGYAATCATCATAAAACTGCCATATTTCTTTCAAAATATGCTTGTAATTGGCTATATAGGATTAAAAKTTAATGGTAAGCCAGGAGGGGACACAAGATCATATACCTTGTGTGACTGGGGCACAAACAAGAAATAGCATGTAAGCTTTGAGAAATGTGAATCCACACAAAACCAGGTTAGATTCARGTTTGGGTTTGTGGAACACAGAAGCACAGAATTATTTCCTTGGTTTTACAACATAAAACAAAATGTATTTATCATACAAAACAAATTTAAAAGTGCTAGAAGGTTCCAAAAATAAAAAATCATTATATCACAAAAATATTGTACCGATGGCCAGACGACTGCCCCGTAACAATCAGTGGCTTCTGTAATTCTTATCTCATGGCCAGCAAAGTGAAAACCTTCCCAGGTCTTATGAGTTATAAGATCAGGAAAAAAACGCCTTCCCATGATTTCTGCAACTATCTTTTCATCTTCTCTTTGCCCTGGAAACGAAAGTGTAAAAGGTCAAACAGGCTGAGTGGACTGATAATGAAACTGYCGATTCATATTAAAAAGCTGATTTGGAAGCAAGAACTTAAATTACATCTGTGAATAAAAATACATTTCATCATCAATGGTTAACATGGTACACAGCAATTCTGCTGAATTTTAACTGAAATTTTCAGTGTGTGACTAAATAATTTCTTTTCCTTTTTCGCTGAAGCAGCCAAGTTCATAAAAAGGAAAGAAGAGGAATGTTAGCACACATTGTTTTGTATTTCAGCAGTCCAAAAGAAATTTTTAAACTTCTTTTTMCCTTCCAGAACAGCTGCCCTAGTATAGATACTCACAGTCTTATGCACCCGGATTTTTCATTATTCTCCATATCCTTTTACAGTTCCCTTTCCCCATATTATGGTTCTTTTTGACAGTAAACAAAAGGAGCCAGATATCATTTATAAGTCTGTCACAAAACTYGTGAAACAGATCCTAGCAACACAAATGATGACAGACAGGAGTGAAAGCACTCGTGTTGTCGGGAAAGCTTATCCGCCCACCCCAACAGAGCCCTGTCAGAGGGATTCTTTCCAGTTGGCTTGATATCCCAAATGCCATCCCTGTTGCTAAGAGAAGAATATTTATGATAGCTAACATAATCCTGGATAACTCTTCTAACAGGAGAGGATTCATTCCTTTTTAGCTGAATACCAAGCTAGTTTCAGTTTTGCCATCATCACACAAAACTGAAATGTTAGGATGAAAAATTTTAGAAAAAAAAAATACATAACTGAAGTTGTCTAGAGCATTTTCTTAGCAAAGTCTAGGTTCATTCCAAGTTCTCACAGGAATTTCACTTTCGTTGCCAGTTATGATCTGTTGGCAAACCAGCAAAAGCAAAACATGTTTACAAGCTACACCTTCTAGAAAGCATGCTAGASATTTAATAACTGAGTTACCACTGTGTCCAAAGCAGAGTTTCTGTATCAATCCTGCAGCTCCCGAATATATATATATAATATCAAAATCACAGATATTAATTTTGGGATCTGCATGGAAATTGCAAGCCAAATGGCTGTTAAAAAACAGCATTGATGCTTTTGTCAACATAAAACACTGAACATTGGTCTACTGAAGATTCTTCACATTTTCTTCCCCCTCAAATCATTGCAGTCACAGGACATAACGATCCCAAGTGCTGTCATTTACCTTGCCATATACCTCTATATTTTCATTGTCATAAGCTGTGGACAAAGTCTCTCTCCCTTCTTTGTGATGCACGGCCCAAGGAACAAAAGCAGGGATGAGCAAAGAAAAAGATTATACCAAACAAAAGACATCAGGAAGCTGCTCAGACTCATTAGCCCATGCTTTAAGCTTATATCTCAGCTTTAAGAGTCAGAGGAAATTAGAGAATAGCAGCAAACAAAGAAAAAAAAAATGTGATATTTTGGTATATTGACACCAAGACACAAAATCCCAACAAAAACTRACTAACCAACTATAGCACTTGTAGAATTTATTGTGGGGGTAGAGGGRAGAACTCTAATCATGGGATACAATGAAATTAAAAACAGTGCCATGTACATGCTACTGGAAAAAAAAAAAATTATAAATTTTATAGCGGTAACTAAAATAAAATGTTCAACATTGAAAAGATGGCATTTTAAGATGTTAGGAAACAAGCAGTATGTGTCAGCCTCTTCAAGCCTCTAATGTTAAGYTGGGAGAAAACACATGCATCACTGTGCCTGTAATCAGGGAGCTCTTAAAAAACATGAGTGGAGTGCCAGGAAAATACTGCTCCAGGGCAAAATTAATCTTCTTTTTATGAAAGAAATAATAAAAAGCTGTCTTATTACACATATCATAAGTGTATTTAATAGATCATCCTGTTTCCAAGCACACCAGATACCAAGCCTGCTTTTAATCTTCTCCAATTGCTTGGAGCAGTCTGATCTTGCTCTGTGATCATTACTAGCTGTGGAAGTAAAAGCTATTCTTTCTATTACCTTTCAATTACAACCATTTTTCTTGATTCTTCCTCCCCTGACATCTGTTTTGGATCCAATTTTGTWGAGAAGCTGGTGACTTATTAAGTCTTAACTTATAAAGCTCCTTCCAGAAGATCTATAAAASTTCAGCAGCATTACAGCTGCCCCTCTAGCACTCAATAAACATTTCCCACCTATTCCCTAGAGGATCAGCAAACTTTCTACTTCAGGTTTGCAGAGCACCTACACTAACAGTTTGTAGGCCACTGCTCCTTTCCTGAGCTAAACTATCTGCACCCCTGAAAAAAGAATCCTGAATCTGCTGATCAATAACAACACTTCAATTTTTGCCCATCTTATCCCTTTGGTCTTCTTCCAGGTGTCTTATCTGGAGAAGCTTCCAACTTTTTTTTTTTCCTTCTAAGAAGACATTATTATTGTGAGAATCGAAAAGAATATATGTTTCATCAGAGTTATCATGTGTTAGACAAAGCCCAAAGGAGAAACTTTATCAGAACCAGGATGCTAATGATCCTGACAAAGAGTGCTGACAAAATAAGGAGTGYAGACTTTTAGTCAGATTCATTTATTCCATACAAGTTTCCCTTTKCAAAGCAAAAAACACTCCTCTGCTACTTTTTATCTTTCAGAACAAATTCTTGTGGGAGTGTACAAAAGGAAAGAAGTTAATTTTTCTGTAACTGTCCTAAAAGAAGTGAGAAAAAAAAATAAACTAGTGGGAAACCTTTCAAGCAATATAAAAGTGGTTGCAAGAGCAAATAAAATCCAAGCGATATAAATTCTTAATATCTGAAAACATTAAGAAAATTCTTCTGGTACTTTGATCAAACTAATTTCTTAACAAATGTAAAAAGCTGAAAAGGGGGTTATTCTCCTGGAAGTGTTTACTTCTGTGTTAGTCCATAGTCTGTTGTTCAAAAAAAAAAAAAAAATCCTGAAATTATGAGTCAATTAATGGCTYCTAATGGCATTTTAAGACAAAAGAAGATAACTCATCAATAGAATAGGGCTGGATAAGAGCAGAAGAGGCCTGACTGACCTGGCTCTCAACCCTTGTAAGGATGGAAGTGCATAATGGGCATTTCCAGCAATAATGCTGGAAAACAGATACTGAACTATCAGAACTGAAAAGTCTGCCAGGACTGGCTCCTCCCTTCTTCACAGAGCCAGAACAATACAAACACATGGATTGTGYTTGACCAGATAGGTTTGCCCTCACTCCTCTTCTGTGAGGTGGAGAAGCGTGGAAGTGGTATACACACAGCATGATTTCCTTCAATCTATTCATTGATTTGCATGAGTAAACACAGAAACTACTGGAGTTTCTTGTGCCAGAACCTTATTTACAATAAGATGAGGCAGTTTGATCCTGTCCAGGTATCATATAGAAAATGAGATTATTTTTCTTAGTGAAACAGAAATCCTTTGGTCTTGAACTTGTGTACACAAAGAAGTTCCCATCTATAGATGCCTCAAATTCTTCAAGAATATCTTCAAGTTTCCTMAGACTTTTAGCTTAATAGGTTAATTACTTACAGTGTTCTTTGAAATATTTCAGATAAAGTACTGTTTATTATAGAATTCTAACAGCTTTGGGGCATGYTCCATGAGCTCCCTTGATTTTACATTAACATCAGGGCCGAGGGAAAATCTCATGTTCTGCTGACACATCTTCCACTGTATCAACCACATCAAATGAGCACAAATAKCATTCTCAAAGGCAAAACAACTGAAAGGGACATTCTAATTGTGTGGAAAACGGGAGTAGTGAAGTCAGTGCAGGTTAGTTAGAGAAACACGTGTCAAACTGCAAAATATTGTGTAGGGAACCAGAGGATTTTGGTGACATATTCACAAGTCATGTTAAAAAAAAATGTTAAAATGTTATAGGTTAGAACAAAACCTAAGGAAAGAAAATTACATGAGTTCTGCTAAGAGAAAGCTGGAGAAGTCCTTCAGGTAGGGTATGAAAGGTAGAAGGAAAATTACAGGAAACAGACCAGGTCAGAATGGAACAAATTGCAAACAGCAGCATCTTTTTCTGTAACAATGAAAAAGACAATCTTTATCTGCACACTTTTTGCTTAGAATGAGTAGAAATATTACCTGTTTAGAACCAAGCTACATGATCAGCTTTTTACACCACTTATCACATAAAATCATGCCTGGAAATATACAGTTTCATCAGAAATGGTAAACTAAAAATTCAGTTGGATATCTTCCATCAATTAAAAGCATGTGTTAAATCTCTCACTGCATAACTAGTGATACTGCCTACAATATTGTATTCTGCMCTGAATGAAAAGAGAGCAGAGAGAGGCACTGGAAAACCACCCTTAAAATGCAGAAAAAGCAGCAAAGACAAGGGGGCTAAATAAAAACTGTATTAAAAACAAAAGTTACCACTATCTTGATACCTCAATTAAAACATAGCTAAAAGAGTAAAAGGACCCTTCCACATGAAAGTTGTGCAGAATATACTAGCAGGTGATAGACAACACTTACAGACTCATTCACAAATACACAGAGTAACAAAAAATACTCCAAGTACTTTTCTAGTGGATAAGAATAGCATCCACTCAGAAACAACAATTTCACTCAGAAACAATAATTTCATTTATTGATTCATGGGAACAGCCTACAGGGAAAAAAAAAAAAACCCAATATATTCGTCTCTTCTGAGTGTTGGCTTGACTCGACTTAGTCTCTTGGGGTCGAATGGTGTCATAGCCCAATGTCATAAGGAAATAAGATCCAGTCATCTTCTGCTTCTCTCCTACTTTGATGGATTTTCTCCAACTGGCAAAAGGAATGAAATCCAAGACTTCAGCATGAACTTGACCTGATGAAGTTCAGCCCTACAGCAACATATTCTCCCTTCTCCAGAAGCAGTATACTCTCACCTGTAGAGTTTAGGTTTAAAATTTAGGTTTATTTAGATTTATCCTTACAGTATTTTAATACCATGCATCAACAGCTGTGAATTTAGTTCCTCTATGACTTCTCAGCAATTGTCTCCTGACAGGAGGATGRCCTATGCTGATATTACTGATTGAGTAATACAACAGAAAGTTCCCAAAAGATTCCAAGAATTCTTAGTAGCCAGAACTCCTCAGATGACCCTCACTCTGGATACATGGAGTCATCCAAACAAAACGTTTAAAGACTATATATTTTATATACATCACATTGATATAATACATATAATACATGTTGTTCAGATTATAAATTTCTATAATCGCTATCCATATATCCCAAAGTCAAGAGGACACCTGCAAATAAATCAGTAAGGGAACAAACCTCTAACAAGTTCTGTAACTGTAAGAGATGCCCGGAGAAATGTTACATTACTCCACTGATAGAAATCATCCAAAGGTATCCCAAGAAATCYRTAYGGGTATTWCCAATGGCTCAGACCAAGTTTAYCCTAAAACTATGTAAAGGTCCCAAYATTATGGGACTCYGGAGTCTCAGAATTTTTACTGAGYTACTGACAAGTCAGGATCAGAGTCCTAGTCTTGCAAGCATCACAGATGGATCCATGGAAACACACACAATCCTGRATCACAAAATATCCCAAAATTTCAGGCCGAATCACTTTAGTATCTTTATTTCATTCCACTTTGTTCTAGTTCATTCCAGTTCAGCCTAGGGCTTTCCTAAAGGAAGAGGATAGGTGGAAATATGAATCATGTCCTTGACTTCACAGAAGTCACATGTAACCTACACCTTCTAAGAATATAAAGTAAAGTACCGTTCCAGTACTTGTGTAAACTGCACAGTTATCTTTCCCTTACTTCACCCCTACCTAAAAAAAAGGGATCATTACATAAGTGTAGGCATTCCAGTACATTCATTACAAGCTCAACCTGCTGAAGTGATGGTAGTGAAGCAGTGTGTTATATTGATTAATCTGAGACACCATGTCAGAGTAATAAAACACTTGAAATTTTATACTTTGAAATGCAGAAATACTAAACTGCCACCCACAGGCARCCTCTTCTCAGCCAAGAGACAAGATGCACTTAGCCCAGAGCATAAGGACACAAGAACAGGAGAAGGGTTTGCTCACAGTATCCAGGCTATGTATTTACCCAGGTTTGAGAGGCACGTTTTCAATCTCATATTTACACCACTGATATCCCAGCCACATGCAAGTCACAGGTCATGTAAAAACCGTTAAGTGGCTGAAAATAGAAGTACTGCAGTCATTTTATCTCATGAGCACATAATGAATTCAAGTTTGCCAAGTACTTCCCTTGTTWCTTCATCATGTTTATCTGTCATCAAAAACATCTTCAGGTCTAGGCTCAACAGCTATTTAATCTCTAAAAATAACTAAATGAGTTCTCTTTGACTACAAAGCAGACTGTGTTCTTAAATTAGATGGTCTAATGTTTTTTTCAAAAAGTCAGCTAACTTCCTGACAGATAAGAGACTCAAGAAAATGCTCTCGGTTTTCACATACCAATAATTCTGGATTTCTAAAATATTTCTTCATGTAAAGGACCTGAAAGTAACCTAACAATACCAACCCACGTAACCACCCACTTTACTCATGTGGCAGTTAAGAAATATTTTTTATTTTCAAAATGTAGCTACTGCCAAGGCTAAAGAAGTGAAAAAAGGAAAGCTGGGCACATGGCTGAGAGGGAAGAATAAGCTACAGACTTCCCTACAGAGTTAATGTATGCTTTGATTATTTGAGTCCTGCCTGGAACTTCTGTTCTATCCATACACAAGAAGTTTCCACTTAAGTTTAGCAACTTCTTAAGTAAAAGTGTGACTACTTGTTGAGGGGASAGAAAGAGTACAGATAAATATTACATCAAGGAGGTGGGCCATTGGGAAATCAGGATTGCAAGAATCATGCTAGAAGGATAAMAAGTAAGGAAAAGTCCAACTATAAATCGGGCATTCAGCTATGAAGGGGTAGACTTGGGGTCTGTGCTCAGGTCTCAGGGTGTTTTTCACATTTTACAACAAAGTCTTTGAAGTCAGTGAAAAGGTGTCMGTGGGGAAGGAATGAGAGAAATAAAATTATCTTTAGAAATAATCCCAGAAATATGAATGAGAWGCTATGTCACTCCCTCTTCCCAGCTGAAATATCTTAAATTGTAARTTACAGGGTTGTTACAGGGTTAGGATGCTTTTCACTTGGCTCCATTCCAATATGTCCCRGTTAAGGCACCTTTCTGGACTCCAYCAAGATACTAGAAAGGATGGCAGGAATTTCCATCAATTATGACATCTGTCAGGCAGGGCAAGTGGAAGGAGTGTGTCCCTTCTAAAATGTCAGGAGTTACGAGAAGGTTACTAGGTCAGCATTTTCTCAGATATTTAGGGATTAAAAACTGAGCTGTGGCCAAGTGAAGGGAAACGATGGACTGTCAAGGACAAGTACTTGTTCTCCTTCTGGCTCAGAGATAAAATTATTCTGGGGTGAATTTACATAATGCAACAGGGGTAAAGTAATTAAGGATCCCAAGAAATTAAGACAGGAATGGTAGCATCTGATCTCAGAAACATTTAGCCAAGAACAGTTAAAGCTAACACAAGAAATTATGTGAGAAAAATGATAAAATTATAAAAGAGACATTAAACAATCAGTTCTCCACACCAACATTGTTAGAAGTCACAAAAGGAATAATCAGACTGGGTGAGGACCGACCTGTAASCTGAGAACCAGTAGTAATGGGAATCATGAACAAAAATAAGGAGTTTTATACTGGAGAATGTATGACAAGTTAATTAATAAGCAAGGAGAAGGCAGCAAATATAAAGAGCTCAGACTGAGAGGRTGGTGTAACACTRGAACAGGTTGCYCAGARAAGTTGTGGATGCTCCATCCCTGGGTATATTCAAGGCCAGGTCAGATGGGGCTTTGAGCAACCTGGCTTAGCGGAACACGTCCCTGCCCATGGCAGGGGGATTAGAACTAGACAGTGTTTAAGGTCCTTTCCAACCCAAACCATTTCATAATTCCATGATCCTGTGACTGGAACTTGCAAAGAAACTTCACTGGAATAAGAACCTTGTGAAATAGTTTTTGGGACTAGGCAGATGAAATAATGAAATAATGAAATAATGAAATAATGAAATAATGAAATAATGAAATAATGAAATAATGAAATAATGAAATAGAAATAGGGAAAGAGGTAGATAAAAAGGATGAAAACAAGGAAGGCACAGGTTCAGAGTGATCAAGCAGGCAAATCTCCATGCATCAGGTTCAGCACCCTTCCATGTCCAGAACCTGGCTTGGAATTAAGGATGGCAAAATCTGGTGTCAGATAAAACYGTAAAGATACCAAATTTTCCATTCACGACTCCTCATCCTCTTGGACTAATGTTTACWGACATGGAAGAGAACTATCTGGCACTACACAAACCACAACTCAGCTGAGATTTTAAATAAAAATATTATGAAAAATAWTTTTTTWAAATTTCCTCCTTATGCACTCAGCTGTAGATCATAACTAGACCCCAWCCCAAAGCACGTGCATTTGTCTCAATACTTTGCCTACTCCTGGTGACCACTAAAAAAGGGACGATTTTTGAACCTTTATGATCTTCAAAAATGTGCAGCCATGAGGGTACTTAAGAGGAAACACTGCCAACAAGCCCCCTGAAGGCAGGGTCTGAGGCTGTTTAGACACAAACCAACTTGTAATAACCAGTTCTCCTGACAGCCTGTAAACAAACTTCTCAGAATAGCTTGATCATAGTCACAGCTTCACTCCCTGGAATCAGACACAGGCACGTAACTGGAGGAGAGATGCCAGGCACCAGCAGGAAACTGCCAGGACCAAGTATGCAGGTATAACATACTTGGGATACCACGTGCATTGCTGGAATACTACAACAGGGTTATCTGTTGCAGTAAATGACATAAATGTAGTTCTTCAGGAAAATGAATGAGAAGATAGCTCAGGGTCAGCAAACTGATACTGTCAAAGATACTTTGTTCCTAATAATTAGCAATAATCTGAAGTGCAAAAAGAAACACAGTGAAATAAGAAATATTTTACCTTCTTGTCTTTCCAATTCTCTGACCCACTGATTTTGTAGATAATTATTCTGTGATGATGTCAAATCCATACTAATGCCACAAACCCTGGGACAGAGAAACACAAGCCTGCCTCAATAAAATTACTTTATTTCTTCTTTTACACATAAGCTTTATTAAAAAATATATTTTTACATGTATTATACTACAATTTACTAAAAGCAAACCAGTTCTTTGATAATTGTTGATACTTTGATAYGAATTTTAAATGTCCATTCTAATGTGGAAATTTGACTGATTTTTGCCAGGAAGGTTACAGGCATTATATAGTTAATAATCTACAGATGTCTAAACACCTAATAGGGATACAATTAAATAAGGCAGTGACTAATAGAATATCTCCCTATGGTGGGATCAAAGGAAAAAAAAAAGAAAAATAAAAAAAAGGAAAGGGCAATCAAAGTAAAAATATATTCTGAATATCAAATCTTCCTCATAATGCAAAGCCTTAGGCAGGTTTTTCTCTCAAAACTTCAGGATAAAGAGGACCATATCTATACATGAACTTAGCAACACCATTAGACAGGCAACAGAAAAGGGACTTAGTGGGATTCAAARCCTTTGTATGCATCCTCAGAATAACAAGTAGCATAGGAAACTACTGGGATATTAAGCAGAAAATGCTACACACATTCATCAACTTCTGCTACAGAAGTATTAAAAAAAAWTWWAAAAAAGACATTTTCTTCCCATTAGAAGACAAAATAAAAGGTAAAATCAGTCTACAGGACAAAGCCTTTGTATTTTGTGGTTCTCTACAATTTTTATGTCATTCTAAAAATGTTGAGGTACCCTGCACTACACAGCAAGCTTTCTGTGTCTAAAATAGGCATTCAGGAGTGCTACAAGTAACTAAGCAGGGCAAAACAACTCAGTTATGCTGTTTAAAGCAAATGATACAAACTAATCTAGAGTAAAAGTCACAGACAAGTGAAACACCACCAGCATCCCCACATTTCGGTCAATGTTACCKGAATCTCTTGCAGCTTTCCAAAGATGGTGCTCCAACAGCAGAGTCCTTATCTTCCCGGTGGCTTCCCCCCCAGACAGCCRCAGGCAAATGCGCGTTCCAAAGCGGTGTCACACATTGCCAACATCCCCACACCGGGAGCAATAACAAACCCCGACAGCTGCAGCACGAGCACAAAGAGGGCACCACACACCGGCCCTTATGTAAGGAGCAATTTTGGAACAGCAGGAGGCACCCACTCGAGGGGGCTCCAATCAACAAAGTAGCCAACTTGGGGATACTGTTTCCAAAAAAAATAGTGGCAGGGCCTTAGCAACCCTGTCACTAAAAAGTAACCAAAGAGCACAAAGTCATTCTTCACAGCCAAAAGAGTCTTCCAAGCATAGYGAAAAATTTACCTGCATTTGCATCAGGGGTATAGAAATGCATGCTCACATTGGAATGCAGAACTGTAGCAAAATAAACAACCCCCAAAASCCTAGCCTGCTTTACCCCATGACACAGCTGCATAAATGTACCACTCCTCCATATCCAAGATGTCCATTTGTTCAATAGATTGCAAACACTGTCATGGGAACAAACACAGGTATCTAAGACTTCCCTTTTTTAGACTGTAAGCAGTTCAGGCAGGAGCCATCTCTCACTCTACACATTTTTTAGAAAAATTAGACTTCAAACTCGACTGGGGTTTCTAGGGGTTACCAAGAAATAATAAATTATTGTACAAAAATACTRAATAGGCCTATGGAGAATTGAGGGTCTCTGTACTTGACCATATGCAGCAGAGAGCTCTTCTACACTTATAAACAACTCACCAGCACCTGGTAGATGCTTTTAAAGTAAAATTCAGTAATGCTAATGAGCGATTTACAAAACAAATCACAGACTGACTGAGAATTTGCTTAGAATACTATGATCTTTTAGAAAAATAGCATCAAAAGGGATTATTTTCACCCACTATAAACATCAGACTCCCTGCAGTTGTAAGTGCCAAATCCCACCCAGTTCACCTCAGCCACTCACCCATTTAGGGGAGGAAAATGCCTCGCACAAAACTTGAATGTATGCACTTGGATTTCAAACAATGAAACAATGAGAAACACAGTAGAAATATCAAATGAGAAGACCAAAAAAAGGCAAGAAGGACTAAAATGTAACATTAAAAAAACAAGTAGGATGGGTAGAATTCTGTGTTTTTCCTCCTTAATCCACAGGAACTAGAAATAAATTCTACATTCAGAGAAGTGAGGCGTGTGAGCTGCACATTGTCCTTTGCAAATTAATGTAAGTGCTGTAACCTGTACATACCTCTAACCTGTACATACCTCTAAACATCACTTTTGCAAACAAATCCTGTCTTTGGATACAGCCATGTAACTCCTAATCTAGAAATATGTTGTTTACATTCAGAACACAAACAATTACCACACATCAGATTATAGAAGGACTTCCTGTACTGTGTGTTTTTCATTAAGATTTTTTATGGGTTTGCATCATCTCTCTACAATAAACATTACTTTAGGCACAAAACTTTCAAGACAGGCTTAGTGAAGGGAAGAAGAAAAGCAAAAAAATAGAACTTATTTCACTTCTCGCAACACTTGGACATAAACCAAGTAATTTCCAGAATTTCATTTAAATTGAAGTTAAAGAAGAAACACATCACATGTGATTTTAATAGCTATATCAACTCAATTAGAATGCAAATAAATTGACAACAGGTTTTGGCTCAATTTTAAAATCTGAAGTCTGGAAACATTGATCAAGTACAGTCTAGGTTTTTCTGATTAAATGTGTTAAAATTAGTGTTTTCATTATTAGAATAGCTTCTATTTAAGTTCTGGACAGAAAATGTATGACAAAATGCATTGCAAATAGGGATAATTTATTATATTTTATAAAAAATTCATTTGGATATTTACAAAGCTCAAGTCAGAAAAATTACATACAGTCTCTCTTCTTTAATATTTCTTTTCTCTAAGACATTTTCTTTTTTATTCCTCTCTTGCTCCGTGATTTCTTTTTTCTGCCTTCAAACACAGGTTTGGCAGTCACCAAGACTATGTTTCCCCTGTCTTCATCCTCACCACTTGAGCTACTGCACTCTTTTTTCACTTTATGGTCTGCTGTCTTTGTTGCAGATGTGTTTTTCTTCCTTTTGCTCTTGCCTAAATCTCTGCCTTTGGATTCCTCCACTGAGGAGTCACTAGAAGTTTCTGAAAGATGCAAATTTCCAACAAAGCCACCTCCATATAAAAATTCTTTTCTGGAATCGGAACCTTTTCTTCTCTTTCCRCTCTGTGCTTTTGTTGCTGCAGCTTGATTTGCACTGCCTGAGGTACCTTTCCCTTTCTTTTTCCCAGGCTGTTTAAGTTCCATCTCCGTATCAGCAGTGGCCTCCTGCATTTCATCCTCTGCTTCTCTTTCCTTTCTCTTCAGACAAGTCACAGCTCTGCGCAGTCTCTGACTTTTAATAGCTTGCTTTTCATGCTGTTCTAGTCTGAAGAATGAATCAATTCGAAGCTGAGTCTATCAAAAATAAAACCAAAACACATTCAAATGTTTTTGTGAGGGCAATTCAGTTRTTAGCTATATGAAAAAGCATGCAAAACTAAAACAGGAAAAAGGATTAATGAAATTAATATATATGCACATAGACATGAACAATAACATGCATCATTATAGCAATATTCGTGCTTTATAATAAATTAGGCAGCAAGAACCTTTACAGAATCTAAATAATTAGCAAACTCCAGTGAGATTTCACAAATATTGTGCTGCTGGTGATTAGAYGTATGTTGCTACTGTCAACCCTAATACTGAGAATCTCTGTAGTGCTCTTAAGTATGCCCTTACAAACACATCCTTAGCTTCCAGCTGTTAAAGCAGAATGTTTACTAAGTAAATGCCATAAGTGCAAGAAGGTGCAGGCTTTTGATTCAAGTTCATTGCACCACATGCTGCTACCATGTAAAGGCTGAAGAGTAGAAGTAGCAGTCATCACACTGTGGATTTGGGCTATTCAACCACAGCTTTTTGCATAGACTAAGCCAATCCTCTACTTTTTCCCTAAAATTGTCTAAGTATTTAACCATGGGATTTGGCAGCTTTTGCTCCTTTAAGTGATACCTAGAACACTGGTTTAGACAATGTATCTATCCTGTGTATGGCAAAAGTAGAAAATGATCTGACATTGGGGATCAGTTTTACAACCCACTTTGACAACTATCACAGATGGCATCACTATTCACTTTCAAGTGTTACTAAAACTGACAGCACATTTATTTGGAAATTAGAGTAATATTATCAATGGGCATTTGATCAACAGTTCAGTCTGCACTCCTCCCCAAAGGATGTGCACAGCATCAAACGGGCAGTGTAACTTCACCAAAATTGTAAGGACACTTTTATAAATACTTTTTAGAGACAACACACTGTCTTTTAGAAGTACAAAAGTAGCTTGAGGTACCTGTAGCTTCCACCATGTCCAGAACAAACAGCAGCCTGGACTTGAGACAGGTGCTTGATAGATTGGAACAATTGAAATTTATGCAGAGTCCCTCAMAGCACACGCAAATCATACAGAAATGAAGTCTAGAGAAGTAATTCAAGTGACTTTACATATATATATATACATAAAAACTATATCACCAAAGCCTAGTTTCTAGGAAAGGTGTTTTACTTCAAAGTCTTGATGGTCTCTTCAAAATGCTTCTCTCACAATTTTCCAGTTACCCTTAAACTACAGCTAGTTTTTTACTTCACCTGTTGCAAGCTCAGCTGTTTCATCACAGGCAAAAGGATTCCATCTATCTTTGTCCTAGTCCAGCCRAAGTGATCCTTGCAGAATGTGTAGAAAAGTTAAGGAACTTTACTTTGCTATGACTGGTATTTTGTAAGAACATAAAATGAAAATGCCTAAAGTAAACAATGTCTGGAGGAAGGATGATCCACTTCAAAGCTTTTTCTACTACAAAATCAGACAAAAGACTCTCAGTGAAAACAACATATCACGATCACACTGCTACATCCCCACTAATTGCAGAACTTTTTCTCTAATATCAACATTTTCAAAAGCATGTCTCAATGGAGTCAGAATTCATTTTGGCTAAATGATATTGCCGTAACACAAAATTACTATAAATAAACCTTATTTTTACACTTGCACCCACTGGAAGTTTCATTTACTGTTTAAAACACTATTAGCTCTGCATTCATTGCCACCTACTTTTCAACAGTTCACTGCAGTTCAGACTGCAACAGATGCAAAAAACAGACATTAYTGGAAGAAAGCAGAAATGAGAGAATGACTACAGATARTGTGCAGACTGAAACACYATTTCTGTCTAGGTTTTGAGATTTATTTGTGAAAATTGGCAAACATACAGAGGGATTGTGCAAACAATCCCACTCAAAGTCTAGAAACATGCACAGGACAGTTACAGAAACATAACATCACAACAAACTAGTCAGTTCAGCTACAAAATTCTCTTTGCATGCAAAGTGAGGCAGCCCCCTCTCTCAGGAGGGCAGAGCAGCCCTGAGTGCTACACAYGCATGGCTGCATTCCCTTCCATCCCAGAGCTGGCATCATTTTAGGGGAGCGCATGTAGGACCTTGGGGCCCCTCACACCAAAGAGAWGTTAAGAACTTGACACTACATTACWGACTCCTTRTGAACTTYGTGTATTTTCACTTAACAAGTAAAAGGATATTCTCTGATCTGTTCTACATCAGGCTTTCCCCAGGTGAATGAACCCCTTGACTCATCCACCACAGGCTTCAGATATGCTTCTGCCACTGCTGGATTTGGGAAACCTGAATAAAGCTGCAGCTCCCGCAGTTTCTTCTTAACCTTGGTATCATGTGGATTAGGCCTGAATTTCTTGTTCTTCTGAGCCTCATTCCACCAGTCACTGAAAAACACAAAAAATTATTAATTTGCTTCATAAAAGGAAGTTTGAAATATCAAAAGCTATCATGCTAATTTCAATAGACTTAGTCTCCCTACTTCAGTTACTACAAGAGATAAGGTAGAAGATTTCCAAATCAAGG